AAACTTTAGTGTTTCAACCGTGAAGCAGTTGTGTTTGCATGGCTGTGTTTCGGTTAGAAGGGTGGGATACGAGATGGCAGTGAATTTACAGGGTACAGAGGAAAATTTTTTGTTATACAACTTAGAATAACAAACAAGCTGACGGCCCACTTGATGGAACATGGTAACCGTCGCCTATAGACATGAGCAGTACCATGGACATAACAGAGTATACTGTTTCGCCCATGATACCCCCCATGCGTTGCCATACCTTAGGACACAGTTGTTATTCCTCTGTACCCAGTAAATTCACGTCATATCCCACCCTTCAAACGGAAACACAGCCATGCAAACACAACTGCTTAACGGTTGAAACACGAATGGGACAGAGGTACCCAAGCAGACGACTTTTATACAAAGTCTCCCTCTGGTATATAACACCTGATACCAGAGTATGCACTCTGTTATGTCCATTGTACTGCTCATGTCTATAGGCGACGGTTACCACTTTCCATCAGGTGGGCCGTCAGCTTGTTTCCCATTCTAAGTCGTATAAAAAAAAACCTTAAGTTTGTCTAGTTCTTTTTGTTTGTAAATTGTCACAATACTGTAAATCGCTCTACCCGCTGACATTGATGCTCCTTTCCACTTTAGGTTTGCTGTTACAGTTTTACTAAAAAGTGTACAATTAAAGATAAATCTTAATTATATCTAGTTAAAATTAAGCATAATATTTTATACTTATTACTCTATTAAGAGGCAAAATGCTGGGCCACCTTATACGATATGACGATTTTTTTAAAAGCATAGTAGAAGGAAAGATAGAGGGCAAAAGAGGAAGGGGAAAACCGAGGATTTACTACATGGGACAGATAAAGGAAACACTAGGCGTCATGTCGTATAGGGAGATAAAAGATATGGCCTGGGATAGAGCTGGCTGGAGAAAGATGCATGAATTAGTTGCACCGACAAGAGGAAACTCTTAAATGGAAAGAAGATTACAATAAGGAGTTATAGTATAAGAAGAATTGTATACACCTATATTATGTATTAACAATAATGGCACTTAAATAAAAATAATTACTTAGAAGTATAAATATAAATGAATATACATATAGAAATAATATATATATATATATATATATATATATATATATATATATATATATATATATATATATATTCATATTCAATTGATTTCGGAATAAAATGTTACGATACCAGTTTTAAACGATTTTAATGATTTTGCCATTTTCAAGTTACTAGTATGTTTTTATATATCAAAGATATAAAATTATTAATTGTCTTATATATCAAAACAAAGGTTTTTTTTTAATGGATGATAATGGAATGGTGACCAAGGCCTGCGCTATCGGTATACACTGGCGGAGCACCAGTGATGAATGATAGGTGAGGATGAAGCAGGTCAGTTAGCCCACCATGACGAATCTAACAATAAATCAATCACGATGGTTTCCAGGGGAAACCACGAGGAGGTCGACCTGGCAGGGTATATTGCCAGCAATGGGGCTACTAATCCCCATTACTAATAAACTCTTATCCCCCCGATCAAAACAAAGTCAAAATCTCTGGTGAAAAGTAGCTAGATTTTAAAAATTATATAGGGGTCATTGTTAGTAGTTAAGTACTTAATTTTGGAGGGAGGGATTGTTAGTAATGCGGACTACTAGTCCCATTGCCAACAATATACCCCGTCAGGTCGACCTCAACGTGGGTCCCTTCTGGAAACCATCGTGCTGAATTGCAGGTGTATTTATCACGATGGGCTAACTGACCTGCTCTGTTCTTTCATTACCACTTATGATCCTTCACTGGTGCCTCGACAGCGTATACCGATAGCGTAGGCGGGGATACCATTCCATTATCATCCATTAAAAAACTACTTTTACGTCTGTAAACTTTAGTATTTAACATATTTTAGTAACTGAAAATATTAATACAAACTATTCCATCTGTTACTCAATTATGAATGTTGATCTTTGTCACGCCGGCTGCTCAGACTTGGTGACGCGGACTCCGCGATCGCGGGCGGAATATCAAATGTGATCAGCCACTGCTATCTGTCCTTATTGATCACTGCGATTGGAGGTTCATTTATTTTTCCCTTTTACCGACTTTTAAAATAATTTGTTCATATTTATGAATAGCAGTATTAGGTGCTAGTTTTTTTTTAATATTGAAGTTTTTTTTTTTACAACACAGGGGGCAAACGAGCATGCAGCTCACCTGATGGTAAGTGACTACCGCCGCCCATGATCGCCCACAACACCAACGGCTTTGCAGGTGTGCTACTAACCTTATAAAGAGAAATATTTTTTTTTATACAACTTAGAATAGCAAACAAGTTGACGGCCCACCTGATGTAAAGTGGTAACCGTCGCCTATAGGCATGAGCAGTACCATGGACATAACAGAGTATACTGTTTCGCCCATCATACCCCCCATGCATTGCCATTCCTGAGGACTCAGGTGTTATTCCTCTGTACCCAGTAAATTCACGCCATATCCCACCCTTCAAACCGAAACACAGCCATGCAAACACAACTGCTTCACGGTTGAAATACAAATGGGACAGAGGTACCCAAGCAATCGACTTCTGTACAAAGTCTCCCTCTGGGTCTGGTCTGGTCTTTTCTTGAAGGTTATGATGTCGTATAATGCAAAATAATCTAATGAAGTTAAAGTAACTAGAGCTAGGAGTTGTTCAATATATTTATAATTGTTATTCACTTCCAAATACTTTTGTTAATTATTTATATTTATTAATTATTAAGAAAATTTATAAGAAAGCTGTATCGATACTATCTTACGTAACCTACCTATATATCCTAATAACATCTTATTTTGCAATGGGCATGGTAGGATACATTTCAATTGAAGTGAGACGGAAGTCAGCCATAATTGAGTATATTTTAAAAGCGTATAAAAAGGTATAAATATAATCTGTATCTACATCTACATCTAAACTATCTACACTAATATTATAAAGAGGAAAAAATTTTATTTTTGTGTTTGTAATGAATAAACTCAAAAACTATTTTGCCGATTTAAAAAATTCTTTCACCATTAGAAAACTACATTCACTCTGAATAATATAGGCTATATTTATTGCTAGAAAAGATTAAGGATCCTTACTAAAACTTTAGTAACGTAACTAAAGGTGTAAAAAAATGCTATAAAATATCTTTCATCACGTGCGCTGCGGATACTATTGATGATAGAACAAAAGTATGTTCTACAATATTGAAGAAAATATCAATAACTACAAAAAACTTCGCGATATTATATGTCCAACTATTATTGTTATGTCACAATAACCACTTTTTAAAATGTTGTAAAAATGTCCACTCGAGCGAAGCCGGGACGGGCCGCTAGTATTATATAATCAGAGCATCCAGCGTTTCTAATTATTCATTGAGCACCTTCTAATTATGCTCAAGCACGTCGAAGGGGCTGATTCCATGTTCCACTGAGAAGAACAGAGCTAGCAAAACAGGCTCCTCTTCCACTGGCCTTGCTCAACGGAATCATGAGTCAATATCGGGACTTCTATATATTAACTTATAAACTTGTCGAGTTTCGCAGAATGGCAATAAATTATGTAGAAAGCGTCCAGTTATTTAATTTTATTTTGTTTTGTATATTCTGATTACTAAGCGAGCGAATTGGGAAACTGCTAATCTCCCTTATTTGTTAATTATAATAAATAAATAAATAAATATTTAGCAAGTGAAACTATTATAAACTGTCTCATCTGCTACTTAGTTATAAGTGCTGATCTTTGTTACACAAGGTACTCAGGTTAGGAGACGCGAACTTTCTGATCACGAGCGGAATATCCAAAGTGACAGTCGCTGCTATCTATCCTTATTGATCATTACATATATATATATATATATATATATATATATATATATATATATATATATATATATATATATATATATATATATATATATATATATATATATATATATATATATATATATATATATATATATACGATTGTAGGTTCATATCTATTTATTATGACTGACTTCGAAAAAAAAATTAATACAGTCATAATAGACTAGAATGGCTGCTTTTATATAAAAACCGACAAAATACATCTGTGAGCAAAATCTAAACTTGATTCAATTTAAAAAAAAAGTTTAAGGAAAATATACGTATAATATCTTTAAAAGAAACATACCTAAATTAATATGTCTCTACACTACGTAGTTTGACAAATACGTAACCTTCAAAATACAAGTAACTCAATGGTTTTATTAAACTTTCTATCTAAAATGTCCATCAGAATCTACTGTTTCAGTCTCACGTACAAAACTCACAAAATACCGAATAGATAGGGGGCGTCTGAGTAGCAATAGATAACGTTACAGTCCGAACGTGTTATACTAACTTGATACGTGAACACTTTTGGGTGCCGACTAGAGATGGGCAATCCACCTGGGTGGGTTTAAAGTCTGGTGGGTAAAAACCGGGTGTTTTGGGTTTATTGGGTTTAAACCCCATAAACACCCAAATTTTTGGGTGTTTATGATTTTGTACTTCATCATCGTCATCTCAGCCGCAAGACGTCCACTATACTGGACATAGACAATATTATTATGCAGCCTACAGAATAAAAAACTTTTAATTTGATTTTGAGTTTATTAAGAAAGAGATGAAAGTAAAATGTAAAACTACAGTCAATCACTGTCAGATTCAGAGTTATTACAAGCGATGAATTGTATATTCGATAGGCTCTATTTCGTCTAAACTGTTATGTTCATTTACTTGCTCAATGAAAGCTTCTAAGGTATTTTCTTCATTAAACTGAATGTCCTCGCATTCAGCTTTATGTTTAAGATTCCAGTTATAACAAATGAATGAAATTTTTTCAGTTCTTTCAGTTGTAAGTCTATTTCTTTTGTTATTATGTATGTATCCTTGGATACTAAAGGAACGCTCAGTGGCTGCCGAAGTAAAGGGAGATTATAGAATACGAATATCTACTTTTATTAAATCAGTGGAACCACAAATACCTTTCCACAATATAGGGGCTCAATGCTATCTAATGAGCTCCATACAAATCCTCTGGCCCAAAAGTTTTCTTTAGCTTTATAACACGCCAAATCTGCCATTACATTTGACAAACTTAAGTGTTGGCTTAAATTGTAGATAAACTCCATACCCTTAAGTTCTTCCTCTTGAGTAAGTTCGACTCCTAGAGTCCTGGGGTCTAGAATATATGCTGCAAAATGTATTGGCCTCATTGCCATATTGCATCTTGAAGATACTGATGTTAGAATCTGCTGTTTGCTTTCTTCGCTCAATGTCGAAATCTCATTTAATGCAAAACGTATCTTAGCTTGTACATCTCTAAATGTAATGTATGTGCGATGCAAACGATTCTGGTCGCTCTCTAAGTAAAATATGCTTTCAGTGACTGGTTCCAAAATACTTATACATTCCCCTGTCTTCGTCCAGAAATCATCACTTAGAATTAAATCTTTAATATCTCTTGAAATTACCACATCTTCTCTAACTGTTAATATTTGCAAAGCTATCTTATTTGCTTTCAAACTTTTTAACGAAGTAACATGACTTCCCCATCTTGTAGCACAAGGCAATTTTAGTGTTTGTGTAGAATCTTCACCCTGCCTTGATTTTATCAACAAGGAACTTAATCGTTGACTCCTTTTAACAGTTTTTATTATATTTATGGCTTGCATAATAAACACAGTTACTTCTTGTATCTTTACAATATCTTGGCACAACAAGTTAAGGATATGTGCACAGCAACCGAGAGGAACAACATGTGGATATTTGAGTTTTGTTAATTCGAATGCCTTTTGTATATTTCTAGCGTTATCGCCAATAAGTACAAGAAACTTATTTGCTCCATACACTTTCATTACTTTTTCAACTTCTTGGCTAAGGTATTCACTAGTGTGAGGATTACTTTCTGTATTCAAACTTTTAACGTATGCAGGTTGAGGTTTTGATATAAGAAAGTTTATTATTCCTTCATTTCTTAAATTAGACCAGCCATCGCACTGAAGGTGTAAGTAACTACAAGCATTTAGTTCCTCATTTAACTCAAAACGCATTTCTCTATATATTTTATCTAAGTATTTTGTCGCTAAAGCTTTACGTGAAGGTATTTTAAATTTTGGTTGCAATTTTTCGAAAAATTGTATCCATAAAGGATGTTGCACCATCGATAATGGCGTCCCTGTTACAAATATAGCTCTCGCTAATTCTGTTTTTATATGATCATCGGTGTCTTGAAACTCAGCATTTATTGTAGTGTTAGCAGACGACGAGGGGCTTATAAAAGAATCATTTGTCTCTATCTCTGACAGTCCAGACATTTTGGTTTTGGACGAGCTATCTTTTATAAGTTTCATAGAGTCTTTTAATGTTTCTGGAGATTTTGGACAAGTGATAAGATGTTGAAGCATTTTGGCAGCATTACTGAATTTGTAGACCTTATTACAAAGCTTGCAAGAAACAGACTTGTTTGGTAAAGTACGGTAGTGCTCCCATATGCGTAAATCTTTAGGTCTCCCCATTGAACCTAAAAAAATGAACGATGATTAGTTGGTCTGACGAAAATTCAACAATAGAGTGCCTATTTTTTTACAATGATTATTTCTTGTTATTTACAATAAATTTATTAAAAAAATAATAAAATAAATACAAAAAACCTTTGTAAAATTACATCTCCTCGGAGGATTAAACGCAGACGCTAGTTTATTATCGTATTGTTCTGTATTTTTCTCAGCAACTTCTTTAATTCGATTAGGTACTTACGCATATTATGTTAAAAATAAATATCTAGTACACATCTTAGGCTATCCACCATTATTATCCAATGACGACTCTCAGCTAACTATGCACTATCATCCAAAATAAACGTGTATGGAAAATTTTATCCCAGTCGGTTGAGGATTGAGGATAATTGCATCAACATACGAACATACCTACATACTTTTATTTACATAACGCAAGCTAAATAAAAGCTTGTAATAATACATCTAATTTTAAGTTAAAATTGTTAAGTGATCATGATATAATTGTATCATTCAAAAATCCACTTACCTTTAATTATTTCTTGTTAAGTATAAATATTATTTCAAATCTGCTCCCTTAATATGCACTTTTTTACTGCTTTTCCTACCTAACACGTTACCAGGAAGTCACGTTACCAGAGTCAGAGTAATAGTGAACACGTTTGACAGTGATTGTCGTCGCCTCATATTCAGCGTCGACGAATAGGGGAATCCCCAGTCATAATGTATTGCATGCGTGGCGGTCTTACTTCAAATCCATAAACAAAGAGATAATTACAGAACTCGATACTAGATGGCGCTGTTTTTGTTTGAAGAAAGTTTGCGGGCTAAAATACATAGAATTTCATCAATGACTTCCACAAAGAACAACATTTCTGTTTTTTTCTAAGTCCGTATCTCTTCCGTATATTTCATAAGATATAAGCTTGGGCTACATTGTTATGCAACGTGATTTTGTCGCTGTCTTGCTAGCAGGGTTGACAGATATACGATTTAAATCGTACTCATACTATTATTTGTCTATTTTTTAATGTACGATCGTAAAGATTATGATCGTAATTCGCACAAAAACATACGACTTTTTGGTTACCTGGCAACATTTTTATTATGAAACGAACATGCTCACATCATCAGTCACATGCAACAATTTATTGGGGATTTCCCTTCACATCTGGCAGTCCTGCTTGCTAGAATATAGGTAAGTCAGCCACAGTTACTGACGATCGATATTTAAAGGGTATTGTTTTTGTGCTAAATATTTCATAAAAACGTTATTTAATACTTTGTGGATTATTAATTTAGTTGATAATCACTGGAAGTAAAATGGATGCTAATTTGAGAGATCAAGATCTTCGTATAAAACAGTTAATAAAAGAAAATCTACGTAAGTACTCTTTTTATACCTAGGTAGGTAAGGTATAATAAACACAAAAGGTACTTAGATCGCGTGTGTTCGAAGCATTTATTCTAATAAATTTAATTTAAAATTGTAGAAAGAAAAAAATGTCTGCCAAGCCGTAGCCGAAGCCGATCTCCAAATATATTTGGCGATAGTGAGACCCAGTGTCCAGATGATTTACCCAGCGTCGTCGCAACAAAGAAAAAAACGAGGATAAAGTAAAAGAAAATTTACTGAAAGAAGAAACAAACTGTTCTAAATGCTTAATTTATGGAGAAGAGGATAAAAGAAATGAGTATTTCGGACTGTTAGTGGCTCAAGAATTTAAATATATACGGCCATGTGTGCGAACGAGGTGTTATGAAGAAATTTTAAAGTATCTACGGGAAGCAAAAGGCCAACATGTTGATCAACTGCAACATGAAAACACTGAAAATTAATTACTTTCATTTTATTATATATAGATTTTTAAAATTTCCTGAAATATTATTAGTTAACGTTTTATTTAATATTGTAGAATTGATCAATACAATTTATAAAAATAATTTATTGGTATTACTTACATATTTTCAAAAAAATACGTAAAAACCTATTTTTTTGGGTGATTATGGGAGTTTATGGGTGTTTATTGGGTTTTTACCAAAGCACCGGGTTTAAACCCGGTGCTTTGCCCATCTGTAGTGCCGACAGTGATTTTTTGTACTGATACCAACCAAATATGTTCTGACGCCGTGGGTGAAGACATAGAACTGTGATCTTTGAATTATTATAAGTGACGCTAGTCGCATTGAAATTGTTCGAAAAATATTTCTATATTTTGTAATAAATTTGGTAAACAAAGCCCTATTAAATAGTTTATTTTTTATATCTGTTGAAATCTCAATGCATTACGTGCGACGTTGACCTCACTGCGCTTTATAGGCAGGCCATGCTTGTCACACTTGATGACCGTCGAAAGGGCGACCGAAAGACGGTCGTGGTTGTCCAATCAATGGCTGACTACTTACTTATTGCAGTGACAGCCGCAAGTCGTCCATAATATTTGCGCTATACCCTCCTAATACTGCGTTCTGGGGGGAAAAGGATTGTTAGTAATGGAAACTGAGAATCCCATTACTAGCAATATACCCAACCACGTCGTCCTCCTCGCGGTTCCCCCTGTAAACTATCATGATTAATTCCAGATGAATTCATCATGATGGGCTAACTGGCGTGATTTCATCCTCATCGATCACCATTCACTAGTGCGCTAACGGGATACGCAGGCAGGGCTACCATACCATTTTCACCCATCAAAAAAAAATGTTTGCACAGCTGACCTTAACCTTGACCTATTTTTATACAATAAAAAAAATACTGCGTTCTACCCCAAACAGAGCATAATGTGCCAATTTCAACAGGTATCCTGCCAGTTTATTGTTAAAGCTATTCAATTATTTTAATATTTGTACCTTTTGTTTTTTTTAATTTTGCATACCTTGCCAGCGAAATATGTGGACTTATATTTATTGTTAACATACTTACTATGTTTCTTGTAAATAAATAAATATTATTGCCACATGATTCCATCCTTAATATCTTGAATATTAAGACGCAAAATCTGTAAATTTACGATTCCTATTTCAAAATTAAAATATCCGAAGACGCTGCATTTTGTGGGGAAAAATAGCAATTTACTAGGCCACACTCTTTCCTCACACTCCAATACTAATAACCATGCAAATTAATATACAAAAATACAATTTTATAATATCATTGTAGACAATAAAAAGCATAACAGAATCATTACGAGCCCCGCGTGAATCTAATATGATTCACAGTTGGATTATAACGAGCCTATTTACGACACAAGTGTATGTAAAACCCCATGGTCCACTCGTGTCCCGCTGTGCCCAATACACGGGTTTTTGTAACCCCAAAATATATACTAATGACACTTAATAAAATTCCTCTTAGGCGCACGGCGTTCGGGTTTATAAATTGGGCCACAATTTTTAACAGCCTGTGTTTTTCATTTAAAACAATTTGTCCTTTTGTTGGTTTTATCGTGGGCCCCACTTAAGGAAGTGCCTATTTAATGCGCCTTTTTTATTTTTTAATGCGTGTACCCATTCATTAAGTTGAGATTTACAATGTTTATATTACTTTTAACACGAATCTAACGTTAGAAACTGGGGGGAAGGGATTGTTAGTAATGCGGACTATCAGTTTCATTGTTATCAATATACCTTGTCAGGTCGACCTCTACGTGGTTCCCCCAGGAAACTATCGTGCTAAATTCTAAGTGTATATATAACAATGGGTTAATAGATCTGTCTTTTCATTCTCGCCTATTATCCCTTATTGGTAGCCCGCTAGCGACTACCGTCAGCGTAGCCGAAATTACCATTCCCTTGTCATCCATGTGAAAGTCGACCTGGTCCGGTGTATTGCTAGCAATGGGGCTCTTAGTCTTTACTACTAACAATCCCTTCCCCCTGAATAAGGAGGTCAGTGCTTACTGGTATCTACAATCATGCAGCGAAGGAGGGAAAGGGATTGTTAGTAATGGAGACTGAGAATCCCATTGCACCCAACCAGGTCAACCTCCTCGTAGTTCTCCCTGGAAACTATCACTATTAATTCCTGATGAATTCATCATAATGGGCTAACTAGCCTGTTTTCACTCTCATCTATCACCCTTCACTGGTGCTCCGCCAGCGTATACCGTTAGCACAGGCGGGGTTACCATACCATTTTCACACATCAAAAAAAAAAATCATGCAGCAAATGATAAGACGAACAAAATTTATTTATTTATCAAACAGCTTAAATAAATAAATAAGGTGTTAATTTATGTTATTTTTCATTATTGTTAATCAACTTAAAGGTATTTATTATAACCTCCTTAACCATGTCACTAACTACACGTGGAGTTAATTAGGCGTCGTCCACAAAAAATACTACGGTAGCGACACTGACACCACATAAACTAAGGATATAGTTACTTTTTGTAATTTTTTGTTCTTCGATTGACATTTTTATTTTAAGAACCAACATGAACTAAATTTTTTAATAGATTTAAGACAAAATTATTATAAAATAACTGTATACCACAGCTTCGCCCGCGTGAATCAATAGAAAAAGTATTCTGTAACTCTCTTCTTTCACCTACTGCTTTTTGTAAGGTTGTCTTTCGAATATTGCTTTTAACGATAAGGCCGCCATTTCTATTTACAGATTCTGTATCAATATTTTATTTATACGAGTTTTTATATGTAATAAAAAATTACTATTGTTGTGTACTTAGTTAGGATATAACCTATCCATGTACCAAATTGCATTCAAATCCGTTCATTAGTTTTTGCGTAAAAGAGTAACAAACAAACATCCATTCATCTCTCGTTACAAACTTTGACATTTATAATATTAATAAGATAAAATTTGTGGGGTGTTATAGTACATACAAGTATCTATTAATGAACTTTTCATTAAACCAACCTTGAAATTACTAACATTTCTCTACAGTAAAAATAAAAGTGCAATTAAATCGAAGGAAATAATTTATATCACAATTGTCTTGATAGTAAAGCTAACATAAAAAAAAAATATAAAATTAATAATTAAATTATTTAATAATCCATATAAATAGTTACTAACAATTAAAAATAAAATGCTTTAAACAGAGAAACAATAACAACTTTACTGTAAAAAGGTACAAGTGTTTCTCTAATAATATCAAAATAGATTACACGAATCGCCAAGTAATATTTATAGCATACTTAAGCTACATGCCTCTCACGAAATCCCGTGTGAAGCCCAAGTTCGAACTATCAGTTGTCGCACTAGAATTACGCGGCAGTTGTCAGCATCTCGAATTAGATGCCGACAAATAGGAAAACTATCGTGTACCGTTAATTAAAGCGCCGCGTACACCGTCATATGTTTGATTAACATTCATAACTCGCCTGGCGTCCCCTTATAGTTATGTTGACGTGTTATTGGGGATTGCTCAAGTTAAAAAGAAACGTATATCGTATTACATTAATGCTACTTTCCTGTTTGTTTTGTTTAATGTTATTCCCGTTATGTATTAGATAATAGAATATATTAAAACAACACCAAAGCTAAATAAAGTTGTTACTAACTCGCCTGCCAACCATGGCAGCAGTGGACAGTTTTTTCTTTTTAATGAATGATAATAGAATGGTAACCCCGCCTGCGCTGACGGTATACGCTAGCGGGGCACCGGTGAGGGATGATAGGTGACAATGAAAAGGCAGGTCAGTTAGCCTATCGTGATGACTTCACTCGGAACAGAACATGACAGTTTCCAGGGAGAACCGCGAGGAGGTCGACCTGACAGTGTGTATTGCTAACAATGGAGCTACTAATCCCCATTTTTAACAATACATTATCTCCCCAGCAGTGGACAGTTAAGAGCTTATATAATTTATATGTTTATTATTTTTATTATGTATTCGCCGTGTCGATCCCGGCATAAAATGGGCCACCTAAGGGAGGGAAAGGCATGGGCAGCAGCGTCCCTCTTAAAACATCACTTTACACACTTTACCAGAGGGAGACTGTACAAAAATCGTTTGCTTGTGCACCACTATCCTATTTGTGTTTCTACCGTGAAGCAGTTGTGTTTGCATGGCTGTGTTTCGGTTTGAAGGGTGGGATATGGCGTGAATTTATAGGGTACAGAGGAATAACACCTGAGTCCTCAGGAATGGCAACGCATGGGGGGTATCACGGGCGAAACAGTATATTCTGT